TTACTCTCAGGTTGTGTGTCTGGTTGTGTCACTCTCAGGTTGTGTGTCTTGTGTTACTCTCAGGTTGTGTGTCTTGTGTCACTCTCAGGTTGTGTGTCTTGTGTTACTCTCAGGTTGTGTGTCTGGTTGTGTCACTCTCAGGTTGTGTGTCTTGTGTTACTCTCAGGTTGTGTGTCTTGTGTCACTCTCAGGTTGTGTGTCTTGTGTTACTCTCAGGTTGTGTGTCTTGTGTTACTCTCAGGTTGTGTGTCTTGTGTTACTCTCAGGTTGTGTGTCTGGTTGTGTAACTCACCCTCCAGCTGCTCTGTGGTCACCAGGCCCAGGGCCACCATGAAGGCCACTTTCTGAAACAGACATGTTGTGAGGACCACGGTGAGGACGAGCCGTGTGCAGCAGAGCATGATGGGTAATTGAACTCACCTCTGGGTCCTCCTCCTTCCTCTGAGGGGGGGCTTTAGGGGGAGCTGGGGGGTCAGCCTGGACCCCCGGGGACCCGTCGGTACAGCTGGGGGCCTGTGGCTGGATGATGATGACCTGGTGGTAAATATGGATAATTCTGAGCTGGCTTTGACTGACAGGCTGACTCTTCTCCCCTGAGTTTGACTGACAGGCTGACTCTTCTCCCCTGAGTTTGACTGACAGGCTGACTCTCCTCCCCTGAGTTTGACTGACAGGCTGACTCTCCTCCCCTGAGTTTGACTGACAGGCTGACTCTCCTCCCCTGAGTTTGACTGACAGGCTGACTCTCCTGAGTTTGACTGACAGGTTGACTCTTCTCCCCTGAGTTTGACTGACAGGCTGACTCTTCTGAGTTTGACTGACAGGCTGACTCTTCTCCCCTGAGTTTGACTGACAGGCTGACTCTTCTCCCCTGAGTTTGACTGACAGGCTGACTCTTCTCCCCTGAGTTTGGCTGACAGGTTGACTCTTCTCCCCTGAGTTTGACTGACAGGCTGTCTCTTCTCCCCTGAGTTTGACTGACAGGCTGACTCTCCTGAGTTTGACTGACAGGTTGACTCCTGCAGACAGAACTCAGGGCAAACTGAGATCAGGTAAGGTTGTTTACCTTCACAGCCTCTCCCACGGTGGACACTCTGTGACCGGAGGCGGGGGAGGCAGCGATGATGGCGTACGCCACTCCGGCTCCTGCGGAGGCGTGCTGGGCGGGGCTTGTGCTGGAGTCCATGGCGCCCAACGGGGCGTCGTTCTGTCTGCTGGGCTGGTGGGTGGCGGTGGGCGGAGCCTGGATCCGGGGACTGAGGACGGCGGTGGCTCTCTGCAGGCTGAGGGGCTGCAGGTCCTGGCAGGGACTGTGGGGGAGGCTGTCGGGGATCTGGGTCTTTGGCCTGACCTGTAGGGGGATCAGACTTTTATTTTGACAAGTCTTTTAACAATTTATGTAAAGAGACTCAAATTTGTCCCTTTCAAAACAAAATACCGCCCTTTATAACATCTAAATGATTTAAAACTGAAGATTATAAACTGAGCTGTGAGGTGCTGCCCCCTGCTGGACCCAACCAGAACTGAGCCTGAATCTGCTGCTGCTGAGGGTCAGTGAATGCATCATGATGTGTCTCTGCTGCTGCTGAGGGTCAGTGAATGCATCATGATGTGTTTCTGCTGCTGCTGAGGGTCAGTGAACGCATCATGATGTGTCTCTGCTGCTGCTGAGGGTCAATGAACGCATCATCATGTGTCTCTGCTGCTGCTGAGGGTCAGTGAATGCATCAGGATGTGTCTCTGCTGCTGCTGAGGGTCAGT